TGTATATATATATATATATATATATATATAAATTATTTAGATATCAAATATTACTTGACGTTTTTTAAAAAATGTATAAAAAGATTTTTAAATAAAAATGTATAGTTCTAAATTTATTATTATAAATACATTTATTTAAATACATAAAACATGTGCCCAAATAAAAATACAAGTTATAGTTTTGGATTATTATTATGATTTTTCTTATTTTATTTGAGTATGTTCTGACCAAATTCTGACCATCAGTGCGAGGAGTCACAAGCTCAATGTCACTAATTTTCCTGGATTTGAATAGTGACCTAAAAATAGTGCAGAATCTTGTTGTTTCTTATCTTAGACTTTTGGACCTGACTGTAGGCTATGTGTGGAAAAGTAAAGAACGGTTTTTGTCTCTCACATTGTGTTCCCTACAAAAAGCAGTTTCAAAGACTCTTTAAATATTGCCTCAGGTACTTTGGTCTATTCACAACACTATTAAAATGCGGATCTGACCTTAAAGGCAGAGTAAGTGATTTCTGGTAGCCAATGTTGATATTTGAAATCACCAAAACAAACACGCCCCTACCCCAAAAGGGTCTTGCCCCTATTTTGATAGCTCCGCCCCACATATACGTACGCAACCCAGGCAACGATTAGTTCTGTGAAACAAAGCAAAACCAATGTTACACCGTGTCTACGGACATGAGCGGCGCGGCGCAACAAATCCCCGACAGAAAACTGCTGCCGGGTTCTATTTATGACGTGCTGACACAAATTTCAAATGGTTTTCAACGGTCGTTTGATCGCGTCCAGTGTAGGCAGACTTTAGCTGTTGTAGACACGGTGTTACTCACCTATTGAGAAGAAACAAAGCAACCTCGGCGTCCGTTTGCAGGCCTCCGCTCCTTGAGTTCTTTTACACGGGTTTACAGAATCAGTTTTCTAAAGTGTTTTTGAAAAATCACATACCCTGCCTTTAAAGAGTATGTTTGCACAATATTGTATTGCATTTGTTGGAATTACACACCTTATTCTGATCTTTGTAAGTAAAGCTCATGCTTGTTTGATTATGTTAAATATATATGAATTGCACACATTACTCAGCATTATAATAACCAGCAAAATTCGCAAATTCAACTTTTGAAAATCAAATTCATTTTTTAACCAGGAAAATAGTGTTTTTTTATTGTCTCTTATAACAAGTCTTTTATTTAAAATCCATGTGTGAAAAACTTGTTGCATCTTTCCCAAAAAGACTCATGGCTGTATTAGATCAAGAGGGTGCTTCTACTAAATACTGAGCATTTTTCAGTTTTTCTTTTTTAATAAATCTGCAAAGATGTCAACAATTCTGTGTTTTTCTGTCAATATGGGGTGCTGTTTTTACATTAATGAGGAAAAAAAATTAACTTAAATGATTTTAGCAAATGGCTGCAATATAACAAAGAGTGAAAAATTTAAGGGGGTCTGAATACTTTCCGTACCCACTGTATATATATATATAAGCACTTCTTAATTTCATAAATTCTCACATTTATTAACCTTTGTTGACCAGTTCTTAGTGTTGAGCAAAGAGCAAACACTAGTTTGAGGTACTTAAAGCTGCAGTCCGTAACTTTTGGCGCTCTAGCGGTTAATAAACAGAACTGCGGTTTTTTTATTGTCTCTTATAACAAGTCTTTTATTTAAATCCATGAAAATGCAGATCCTGTTGTAATAATTAAAAATCCAGTTTTTTTAAAACTGCTGTTCCATTGTTACCCCTTAGCAGATATTGACTCGTATATTGAAGTGCGATGAAAAGGTCACTTTTTCTTTAGATCTATGTAAGAGATAAAAACAAACAAACAAGCAAATCATCTCATTTCCATGTGGCTTAGCTGGGTTGAATGCAAATCATATTGCTGCAAGCTTATAAAACACGCCTCTGCTGCAGACACAGAATAAATATCTTGTCTGCTTTTTCAACAGTGACATTTTTTTTGGTCCAAATACATTTAGGGTGTTGATATGAGGATGAATGCACATGCTTAAATCAAATCTATTTGTGTTTTTGTTGTGCAGCTGGCAGGAGCAGCTATTCTGGGTGTGGGGATCTGGGTGAAGGTGGACAGTGGGTCTATCCTGAGTTTTCTGCAGAATACACAAGGAGCTCCAGGTGAGCTGGGGCAGGTGTTGAACGTGGGATACCTCCTCATCGCAGTGGGTGCTGTGCTGCTCATCCTGGGCTTCCTGGGCTGCTGTGGAGCGATCAAAGAAAGCAGGTGCATGCTGCTGCTGGTACGTCAAAGAAACAACACTGAAACAACACATAATGAGTTTCCCACAATGTGTACACTCTAATAAATAAAGCATCTTATTGGGCATCTTTGGCTAGGAAGAACCTTTAACATCCATAGAACCTTTCAACTCCACAAAAGGTTCTTTAGATTATTAAAATGTTCTTTACATTAAGAAAAAAAAGGTTCCTTTAAACACTAGTGTTCACTGAAAAGTTCTTTGAGGAATCAAAAATGGTTCCATTTAAAATGGTTAAAAATGGTATTATACACACACACACACACACACGCACGCACGCGCACACACACACGCACACACACACGCGCACACACACACACACATTATATTAAAAAGATATAATGTAATTTCTATATTAAATTGTATATACTGGCCATATACTGTGGTGGACTTCTGTTTGCTCATTGATTCATTCATTGAATCTGTCTGTCAATCTCTCTCCTCAGTTCTTCATCATCATTCTGATTGTGTTCATTGCTGAAGTCGCTGGAGCGATTGTGCTGCTGGTCTTTAAGCCTCTGGTAAGTCTGTACACACCATACTTAAACATACTCCTTTGTGTGTAAAGAACTTAAGGAAATACTCAAACCTCCTCATTTGTATATTTCAGGCTGAAAACCTGATAAAACAGATGGGAAGCGAAGTTGTGAAAAACATGAAAAACGATTATGGGAAAAATAAGGACGTCACTGGACTATGGAACACGACCATGACCACGGTTTGTTGATAAAGAAGGAAATAAAAGTTATTATTATTAGGCTGCCATTGTTATTGGTAGTAGTAGTTGTATCATTATTATTATCATTACAGAAACAGAATATTTCTTCAAATTAAACAAAATCCTAAACATTCTCAAATAAAATAATACGTAAGCATCATCCAGTTTAATATTGTGCATTTGATATTTTGAGACCTGTGCCTCATATAAAAATGGTATTGCGTAAGAACAGTCTTTAAAAGTTTACCACAACACATAAACAAGTAAAATAAGTATTTATATGTTAACGTCCATTCATTTCAAGTATATTTGGCTGAATTGAGCTCATGTCAAACCTCTTTATTTCTCCTTTCTCTGCTTTAGCTGAAGTGCTGTGGATTCAACAACTATACAGACTTCACAAATTCTTACTTTGTGAACGACACCAAGAGTTACCCAGTTCAGTGCTGTAATAAAGTTCCATGCATTGAGACCACAGCTTTTCATTCGGTGGGTTTATCTCTTAGCATGTTTATTCCTTGAATCAATTCTAGTTTGCATGCTTTTTGATTTTTCTATCATACAGGCTAGCATATAAATATCATAAACTTTTGTCTATTTGTTTGGTTTCCTCAGACTATACCAGGTTGTTTCCTAGCACTGAAGAAGCTGGTAGATGATAATGCAGTTATCCTCATAGCTGTAGCACTGGGAATCGCTGCTCTTGAGGTACCGGACACACTTTCTTTCTGTCAGTCATTGTGTTCACATTTTAAATGAAAGAGTTGTTCACGTTTGATGAGATACTGAAAATGTGCTAAAAGGTATGCTACATTTTCGTCACTTTCAGTTATCACACTGGAAATGAAAATGGGCCTTTTGCATTTTAATCCAGTTTTGTGTAAAAAAAAAAAATATATATAAAAAGTTTTAGCTCTTGTGAGTACAATTCATTCCAGAGGTGGAGAAACTTACTCAAGTTTTCATGGAAGATTACTAAAACAAGCTTCTTTATAATAACAATAAGACCAGAGACATTTATTAAGCAAATAAATATGGTCAGTTTTGATTTCCTTTTGGTTTTCTTTAAAGGAATCATTCACTTGCTTAAAATTTACTCACCCTCAGCTCATAAAAGATGAGTTTGTTTCTTCACTGGAACAGATTTGGAGAAATGTAGCATTATATCACTTGCTCAGCAATAGATGCTCTGCAGTGAATGGGTGCCGTCAGAATGAGAGTCCAAACAGCTGATAAAAACATCACAATAATCCACAAGTAATCCACACCACTCCAGTCCATCAGTTACAGTCTTGTGAAGACAAAATCTGCCTGTTTGTAAGAAACAAATCCATCATTAAGACATTTTTAAAAGTCCTCTATCCGTCATTGCTTTCTCCAGTGAAAAAGTCTTCTCGTCTGATTCAGGAGAGAAATATGCACCGATCAAGCGTCGTTTACAAGTATATGTCAGTGGATTTTGATGTCAAAGGATAACAGGGGATGGACTTTTTTTAACTGGACGAAGCGTTATTATGAATTATGGATGGATATTTTGTCCAGAATCGGTGGTTTAAAGTTAAAATGTCTTAATGATGGATTTGTTTCTTACAAACATAAACATGCAACTTTTCACTTCACGACTGGAGTGGTGTGGTGTGGATTATTGTGATGTTTTTATCAGCTGTTTGGACTCTCATTCTGACGGCACCCATTCACTGCAGAGGATCCATTGCTGAGCATCAGACCAAATCTGCTCTGATGAAGAAACATACTCATCTACATCTTGGATGGCCTGAGTTAAATTGTCAGCAAATTCTACTCCTTTTAATGAAATAAATGGAGTAAATTTGGATTGCCTGTAGTCTTTGATGGTTAAAGCATTTATTTCCCTTAGGATAATAATTACAAACTAAATCTATGTATATACAGAAATAAAAAGCCCTTTATGACATTTGTGAAGCACTGTGACACTAATGCTTTTTATTTAAACTCAGAATTGTTTCTCTCTCTGTTCTCATTCTCAGCTTGCAGCGATGATTGTCTCCATGATCCTGTATTGTAAAATAGGATCAAAACAGGTTTAATGTCTCACCTTTAGCTTGAATATCTCTCTGATGACTCCTCTGGGTTACTGAGGACGAGGTGGATCATCTGTGATAATATCACTGTGACTTTTGCAAACATTTCGAATTGTATCTAACAATATGACATTACAAATCCCTCTGGGCGTCCACAAAAAAAAAAAAGTAAATTCAGACTGTTAAGCCTAAACTTTGACTGCAAACATGAGTTTTGAGAGATCCCATTGTACTGTACTTATGTTAAAATGAGCTGTTTAAGCTGTTTTAATGTTTAATGTTGGCCTATCTGATTGTTTTTTGTTTACTTTTTTACTTTGCCTATGCAAGATGTTTTCTTATTTAAAAACAAAATGCTTTGTTTAATTGCATAACACCCAAGGCATTATTTTATAATTCTGAACACACTTCCTATTGACATTTATATGTGCAATGACCAAAAAACGCCATACGTTTTCTAACAAATGTTGCCGATTGTAATTTATTGTAAACTTTTTACAAACCAAAGCCATTTTAAATAATGTGCCTGTCCGTGTAATAAAGCACAATGTTTTATTTTAAAATCTGTTATGTATAAAGTATTTTACAACAACAAAAAAAGATTATATCATGTTGCTAAAATGTTATTGTAAGATGTTTATTTTGACAGTAACTATAAAGGCAATATTTCAACCTGTTTGTGGTGGTCATTTCTTTAAGTTCTTCAACTGAAACTCTACTAATGTAGGCCTACATGTAGCCTATGATGATCACAAAATAAACCCTGACAGGATGTTCTTGTATCATCATATTTTATGTCCTGAAAATACATCTATATTCTGTAACTTTTAATGGGTAGAATTTGATCGCTGAATAAAACTCTAAACCCCCAAATCCCTACCCAAAGTAATATGAAAAACATAATAATCTACTAGTACTCACCCTTGTGCTGGTTTTTGGACTAGGCTACTAACTGAAAAGCTGTTTACTATCGTCCTTTACTGCCGTGAAGCTCTCTGGCGGCTTAGAGTAAATAGTTATTTACTCTACTGCCCTCTAGTGGTAGAAAGTTACTATGCCGTCGATGCTTCACGACGTCCAACTATACACTGTAGTAGTTAAATGGGTTGAGCGTACTACTAGATAATACGTAAGCATCATCCAGTTTAATATTGTGCATTTGATATTTTGAGACCTGTGCCTCATATAAAAATGGTATTGCGTAAGAACAGTCTTTAAAAGTTTACCACAACACATAAACAAGTAAAATAAGTATTTATATGTTAACGTCCATTCATTTCAAGTATATTTGGCTGAATTGAGCTCATGTCAAACCTCTTTATTTCTCCTTTCTCTGCTTTAGCTGAAGTGCTGTGGATTCAACAACTATACAGACTTCACAAATTCTTACTTTGTGAACGACACCAAGAGTTACCCAGTTCAGTGCTGTAATAAAGTTCCATGCATTGAGACCACAGCTTTTCATTCGGTGGGTTTATCTCTTAGCATGTTTATTCCTTGAATCAATTCTAGTTTGCATGCTTTTTGATTTTTCTATCATACAGGCTAGCATATAAATATCATAAACTTTTGTCTATTTGTTTGGTTTCCTCAGACTATACCAGGTTGTTTCCTAGCACTGAAGAAGCTGGTAGATGATAATGCAGTTATCCTCATAGCTGTAGCACTGGGAATCGCTGCTCTTGAGGTACCGGACACACTTTCTTTCTGTCAGTCATTGTGTTCACATTTTAAATGAAAGAGTTGTTCACGTTTGATGAGATACTGAAAATGTGCTAAAAGGTATGCTACATTTTCGTCACTTTCAGTTATCACACTGGAAATGAAAATGGGCCTTTTGCATTTTAATCCAGTTTTGTGTAAAAAAAAAAAATATATATAAAAAGTTTTAGCTCTTGTGAGTACAATTCATTCCAGAGGTGGAGAAACTTACTCAAGTTTTCATGGAAGATTACTAAAACAAGCTTCTTTATAATAACAATAAGACCAGAGACATTTATTAAGCAAATAAATATGGTCAGTTTTGATTTCCTTTTGGTTTTCTTTAAAGGAATCATTCACTTGCTTAAAATTTACTCACCCTCAGCTCATAAAAGATGAGTTTGTTTCTTCACTGGAACAGATTTGGAGAAATGTAGCATTATATCACTTGCTCAGCAATAGATGCTCTGCAGTGAATGGGTGCCGTCAGAATGAGAGTCCAAACAGCTGATAAAAACATCACAATAATCCACAAGTAATCCACACCACTCCAGTCCATCAGTTACAGTCTTGTGAAGACAAAATCTGCCTGTTTGTAAGAAACAAATCCATCATTAAGACATTTTTAAAAGTCCTCTATCCGTCATTGCTTTCTCCAGTGAAAAAGTCTTCTCGTCTGATTCAGGAGAGAAATATGCACCGATCAAGCGTCGTTTACAAGTATATGTCAGTGGATTTTGATGTCAAAGGATAACAGGGGATGGACTTTTTTTAACTGGACGAAGCGTTATTATGAATTATGGATGGATATTTTGTCCAGAATCGGTGGTTTAAAGTTAAAATGTCTTAATGATGGATTTGTTTCTTACAAACATAAACATGCAACTTTTCACTTCACGACTGGAGTGGTGTGGTGTGGATTATTGTGATGTTTTTATCAGCTGTTTGGACTCTCATTCTGACGGCACCCATTCACTGCAGAGGATCCATTGCTGAGCATCAGACCAAATCTGCTCTGATGAAGAAACATACTCATCTACATCTTGGATGGCCTGAGTTAAATTGTCAGCAAATTCTACTCCTTTTAATGAAATAAATGGAGTAAATTTGGATTGCCTGTAGTCTTTGATGGTTAAAGCATTTATTTCCCTTAGGATAATAATTACAAACTAAATCTATGTATATACAGAAATAAAAAGCCCTTTATGACATTTGTGAAGCACTGTGACACTAATGCTTTTTATTTAAACTCAGAATTGTTTCTCTCTCTGTTCTCATTCTCAGCTTGCAGCGATGATTGTCTCCATGATCCTGTATTGTAAAATAGGATCAAAACAGGTTTAATGTCTCACCTTTAGCTTGAATATCTCTCTGATGACTCCTCTGGGTTACTGAGGACGAGGTGGATCATCTGTGATAATATCACTGTGACTTTTGCAAACATTTCGAATTGTATCTAACAATATGACATTACAAATCCCTCTGGGCGTCCACAAAAAAAAAAAAGTAAATTCAGACTGTTAAGCCTAAACTTTGACTGCAAACATGAGTTTTGAGAGATCCCATTGTACTGTACTTATGTTAAAATGAGCTGTTTAAGCTGTTTTAATGTTTAATGTTGGCCTATCTGATTGTTTTTTGTTTACTTTTTTACTTTGCCTATGCAAGATGTTTTCTTATTTAAAAACAAAATGCTTTGTTTAATTGCATAACACCCAAGGCATTATTTTATAATTCTGAACACACTTCCTATTGACATTTATATGTGCAATGACCAAAAAACGCCATACGTTTTCTAACAAATGTTGCCGATTGTAATTTATTGTAAACTTTTTACAAACCAAAGCCATTTTAAATAATGTGCCTGTCCGTGTAATAAAGCACAATGTTTTATTTTAAAATCTGTTATGTATAAAGTATTTTACAACAACAAAAAAAGATTATATCATGTTGCTAAAATGTTATTGTAAGATGTTTATTTTGACAGTAACTATAAAGGCAATATTTCAACCTGTTTGTGGTGGTCATTTCTTTAAGTTCTTCAACTGAAACTCTACTAATGTAGGCCTACATGTAGCCTATGATGATCACAAAATAAACCCTGACAGGATGTTCTTGTATCATCATATTTTATGTCCTGAAAATACATCTATATTCGGTAACTTTTAATGGGTAGAATTTGATCGCTGAATAAAACTCTAAACTCCCAAATCCCTACCCAAAGTAATATGAAAAACATAATAATCTAATAGTACTCACCCTTGTGCTGGTTTTTGGACTAGGCTACTAACTGAAAAGCTGTTTACTATCCTCCTTTACTGCCGTGAAGCTCTCTGGCGGCGGTAAATAGTTATTTACTCTACTGCCCTCTAGTGGTAGAAAGTTACTATGCCGTCGATGCTTCACGACGTCCAACTATATATACACTGTAGTAGTTAAATGGGTTGAGCGTACTACTAGCTACTAAGATGGATAAACTGTGCTTTAGACTTTAATTTTGAATGATATATTTATGTTTCTGGCAGTCACCAAGCTATTGATCTTGTTAATTTCTTTGTTACATTGCACATTTTTTTTAGTCACAAAAACAATTTTCTCAAGACTTAGATTTAGATGCCTAGATTTAATGTCTTTATTACTCATATTTCCCTTGTAAAAACTTTTAAACTCATTTATAACGACAAGAATAACAAGCTGAATTATGATCACTTTCTATTATTTATAATTCTATTATTATTATAGGCTAATTATTTATATGCGCTATTATGTTTCAGTTTTCTTTTTCTTGTGTAGCCCATCTCGTTTTTTTTTTGTTTTGTTAGGGTAATAATATTAATGCTGATTGGATAAAGAAAAATGCTATACTTATGTCTTCATTAGCCCTATTTGTGTGTGTGTGTGTGTGTGTGTGTGTGTGTGTGTTGATATTTTCACTTTGCAAGTTTGAAAAGCTATAAATCTTTAGAATGAACATGCTTACATGTGTTTTACTTAAGCTGCCTGATATTTATTTGCGTTTTCTGTGTTTTTTAATCGTTTGAGTAAAACACACACACACACAAACGCACACACAGTAAATAAAAAATTAAGCATTTTATATATATTTATATATATTTTCAATATATTTTATATATGAAATAATTCAGCATTTTAATTAAACTAATTATTACTATTTAGACACACAAGAGTATTTAATCGTGAATAAACTAATCAATAAATGCATTAATAAATAGTAGATACAATTAAATGTATGCATTTAAAATATTTTGAAATACAGAAAGTTTGGGGAAAAATAGCAAATAAACAAAGATTTAAAATAAACAAATGACAATAAAAGGAAGTAAATTATTAAGCCTACATACAAACATATAACTCGTTCTTCACCCCAGCACTAGATGGCGCTACTAACTCCTGTCCCTTCGCTCTGGTCTCCTGCCATCAAACCTGCTGTGAGCTCGAGGAGGAGTCCTCACATCACACACACACACACACACACACACACACACACTCGTGATTGAGCCGAACACTGATCAATATTCCCTGCCAGCTCGAGTTCTCCAGCCGTCCTCATCCATGCAGCATCTTCACGCGCAGTGAGAGTGACTTTCCACAGGAGCTCTGAGAGAAAGCTCTTCACGGTGTGTGTGTGTGTGGCCACAAGGCCCAGAAGAGGACAACAAACAACAAAATACACCATGTCCACTGGGAAAAATGCACCTGCTACAGAAAAGTGAGTCGTTGATGGCTTGTTTAATGTTTATTTTAATAGTGTTGCATCAGTGCTGTGCCTTTTCGAGTTTCTGCTACTCAGCATAACTGAAAACGTTCATGCTTTGTGGTTCTGTGCGTCTTTAAATGGCTGATTCAGTGAGTCTGTGTTTAGTTTTGGCAGTTTTTGTTTCTCCTCGTGTCAGGTTTTCACATCTCTTCCTTCCTTGTTTTGCAAAAGAGTCTGGTTTGAGCTCAGCTCGTGTTCTCAGTGAGAGAATGGCATACCATCCCTGAATATAAGGCTTTAGAAAGCTTAGAAATGTGCTCTTAATGTTGTTAAAGTGAAATCATTCGCAGTGCATTGTGACATGTTCTTATCCAAAGGCGCTGGCTGTCCATGCCCAGTGTGTACTCCGAGCAAACATCAAACACCTTGACTAGTGACAAAGTGTGTGAGCCATATTCTGCATTGCATTTGTGTTTGTACATGTCATTGCAGCTTGAGAGAGTTAAAGGTTAGAGATACCTTTAAATGACTTGTAAAGTCATGCAATTGCTTTAAACCAGTTGTTTTTGCATCTCTAACAGGATGCATGTGTATTTAGGCAAATGCATGTTGGTTAGTTTGTAAATTTCATAAGCAACAGGTGCCAGAGGGCCGTATGTCTCACTTTGAGAGCACACTAATGTATATCTGCTCTTTAATCTAAAAGCAGGATCAACCAGTTGACATTAATTAGTCCTGCTAAATATATCTTCAGTGGTCATGTGCTGAAAAACTCTGCATCAGGTAGCGTTCATAATTTATAAAGGGCGCCGCTGACAGGTCTGAATGGTGTCTTGGTATTTAGTAGTAAATGTCATTCATTTCACCAAGTGGCTTTGCTTGTGTTTGTGTGGGTTTACTTCACTTGGGGAGTTTTGGAGCAAAGTTGTCCACAGAAGACCGATAAATATGATAAACCCAGCTTTAATAAAATATAATTGCTTAGTTTTCTGTAAATTATTTACTTTTATTTATTTTGTTACTTTGTTAATTGATAAACTTTTTAAACACACAAACACACACACATTTTAAACACTGACACATTTCTCAAACAGTTCATTTTAAATAAAAAACTTTTAGAATGCATAATTATAAAACTAATTATAAAAGTAATTAATTTTATATTATATATAAAATTAAAAAAATGTTATCTGAATAATTTATGTATTTATTTGTTATTATTAATTTACTTATTTATTATTTTGGTTTATTAAAATGATATATATATATGTATATATATATGTATATGTGTGTGTATAGGCTATATGTATGTAAGTGTATATATGATCAGTGAGAGTTTGGACAAACTACGGCCACGGTGAGAGAAGTCTTATTGTCTTCATGAGTTTCTCCTCCCCTCCAGTATCTGTGTGAGTGATCTTAAGAGCAGGCGAGCTGTTTAGTAAAGGTGTGGTACCTACTGTACCAAGCCCATAATGCTCTGTTTTTCAGTCAGATACTGTACACCACCAAAATTGAGTTTTTTTTTGCCGCTGTAAAGGTGCTGGCCTCTGAAGCACTTGTAGAAATGGTAGATGTCATCCCGTGATAGCATGCTTTATTTCTGTTGCGATAGAGAATTGCATTAGGTGTGCTCCCTTCTCCAGGATGTGAGGTGTTTACCTAAAGATCACACCCTCATGCTGCACACAGAGCCACTTCATTAATATATAGCCGGGAGAGCGAGGAACTTTACTCTGAGAAGGAAACCACATGCTTAAGTGACTCCAGCACTTATCTTTATATGCAGGCCCACCTGGAAGTACATAATTCTTGGTTTCAGGCAATACATCTTTATTTTGTAAGTATTCTAGGACATTTTTGGGCTAGTCTAGTGTTTTTTTTTAATTTTTTTTTATTAAAATGTTTTCTCCAATTCCAGTTTAATTTACAGAGACAACTATAAGTAGGTTAATTTCCCTGAAGAACTATCAAAACTTTGCTCTGTTTGTTTGAAAATCCTGGCATGGCAACGACTCAGCCAATGGCGTGCACTGGGGGCGGGAATGTATGCATGTTTGACCAATGACAGACTGGGGAGAAAAGAAAACTGTTTTATCTATTTATAATTTATAATCTATCTATTTAAATGTTATGAAAGTGGCTTATGAAAACGGCATTTTGCCACTTTTTAAAATATTTTTCTGTGCATCAATATGAATAATTTCTAAATTTTAATTAAAATGTTTTGTAAAAACTGTTTCTAGGAAAACTTGATATCACTGGATTCACTTTAAGGGCTGTCCCCCCCAAGTGATGAACAGTAAAAACATTATCAAGTCAATTCACTGCTAATTACAAAAGTCAGGTGAATTCTGATTAGCCGTTAACTAAAACTTGACAGACGACAAAACCGCAAGCTGTGGGCGCTATACTGTTATCTTTATAGTTATCATTCTTGGTGTGAACGGGCCTTGCATCATCCTAACAGAAACATGTGTTAACCACTAAGTCAAAGTGAAATTAATGTCTGTTCTTGCATTAATGTGACAGGAACTTAAGCATTCAATACTGATAAGAGTTCATAATTGCATTCACATTTTTTCATAGAGAAAGTTTAAGGCATTAACCTTCGCTATATTTAACTAGTAGCCTGCTGTGTCGGAGTGTGATCTCTCGTTGTGTGTGTAAAAGCATGTGTTGTGGTGTATTCCAGGTCTAAGGAGAGCATGTATCACGCTCTGATCTATGCCACAGTATTAGAGATGCAGGCCATGATGACCTTCCAACACGACGACATAGTGCATGCTGGGAACACGATGAAGAGTGCTCAGGAGGTGTGCCAGAGGTAGAAAGACAGCCAAAACACTGCATTCGTTTCAGTCCTGGAGAGGCCTTTTCCTGTGACCTTTCATTTTTAGGCAAATGGGGTCATTTCCATGTCAGCTGACCCGATCCAGCCGCTTTGAAATTTGCTTGCATTTGCATGGAGATGGAACCGTGTGGCTTTAAATGACGGACAGCTGGTCACGTCTAATGAGGAGTTTTACTGGCCTTAGTAACATAGATGAAATGGAGTGGAAGAGATGCATACATGTCCTACGTAAAGCATGTGCTTCCCATAATGCAGCACTAATCCAGATGACTGTATGTGGGTGGATTCACCATAGCAATGGTCACACATCAGCTCATTTTCAGTTTGCTTAAGAAACAGTGAGTCACAAGGGAGATCCTTCTGTGTGATCTCCTCCTAAACCCCTCCAAACATCCTCTTGGGAGAGTGACGTTAGTTTGTGTGTGTGTGTGTGTGTGTGTGTATAGACTGCCGTTCAAAAGTTTGCAATCAGTACGATTTTTTATGTTTTTTTAAAGACTTTCTTACACTCATCAAGGCTGTATCTATTTAATCAAAAATACAGAAAAAGCTAATTTTGTGAAATATTATTGCAATTTACAATAACAGTTTTCTATTTTAATAATTTAAAATGTAATTTATTCCTGTGGAGCCAAGCTGAATTTTCCGCATCATTACTCCAGTCTTCAGTGTCACACGATCCTTCAGAAATCATTCTAATATGATGATTTACAATCGATGTTGAAAACTGTTGTGCTGCTTAATATTTTTTGGGACCTGTGATACTTTTTTCAGGATTCTTTGATGAATAAAAAGTTCAAAAGGACAGTGTTTATTCAAAACAGAATTTTTGTTACAATATACACTACTATTCAAAAGTTTGGGGTCAGTACATTTTTTACATTTAAAGAAATATATTCATTTAAAGAAATTAATACTTTTATTCAGCAAGGATGTGTTAAATGGATAAAAAGTGATAGTAAAGACTTGTATCGTTAGAAAAGATATCTATTGTGAATAAATGCTGTTCTTTTTAACTTTTTATTCATCAAAGAATCAAGGAAAAAAGTATCACAGGTTCCAAAAAAAATAATGAGCAGCACAACGGTTTCAACGCTGATAATAAATCAGCATATTAGAATGATTTCTGAAGGATCATGTGACACTGAAGACTGGAGTAATGATGCTGAAAATTCAGCACTGTGTAACAGAAATAAATGATATTTTAAAGTATATTAAAATAGGAATCCAATATTATTTCACAATGCTACTGTTTTTTTTTTTCTGTATTTTTGATCAAATAAATACAGCCTTGATGAGCATAAGAGACTCCATTAAAAATCTTACTGATCCCAAACTTTTGAACAGAAGTGTATACCTAAATAAGTTTACAAATTGAAAAACAAATGTTTCAAATTGTATAACTAATATTTAAATACGTAGTTAAAGATGCCTGTTGAGTGGCATTTTTTAAACTTAATTGAGTAAATGAATTGGAAGTAGTTAGCAGATGCTTTTTTTAAATAATAAATGCAATTTAACAGTTTAAAAGCATTAGAAATGACATTATTTATTTCTTTATTTTTGTAAAACTTAACTACATTTTCAATATATTTATCAAAATGTATGTGTTGCTGTTGTAAAAACTTATGCTTATTTGTCAAGATACACTACTGTTCACAAGTTTGGGGATAGTAAGATTTTTTTTTTTTTTTTTTTAAACAGTAGTATTGAGAAATATTGTTACAATTTAAAATAACCTTTTTCTATTTTAAATATTGTAAAATGTAATTTATTCTTCAGTGTCACATGATCCTTCAGAAATCATTCTAATATGCTTATTTGTTACTCAAGAAATTTTTACTTATTGAAAACTATTGTGCTGCATAATAATTTTGTGGAAACGGTGATACATTTTGTCTTGATGAATATAAGTCTTATAGAATAGAAATATTTTATAACATTATAAATGTCTTTAATGTCACTTTTGATCAATTGAATGCACCCTTGCTGAATAAAAGTATAATTTTTTTTAACATTTAAATGTAAGTCTATGTATTTACATTTTTATTTTTGAATTAATCATTTTTTCCCATCCATCTTCCATTAGAAAGTAATTGTGCATGATCTTAGTCTGGTCAAGTGTGGTTGTACTGTAAGTATGTCAGACATTGTCATCGTGTGTTTGTTCACTCATCTCTTGAGTTCTTGCTGTTCTCTCTCAGGTTCCGTAGGAAGTCAGGTGGTCTTGGGAGCCGAGGAGCAAATGATGATCTTTCAGAAGGTGCGGTTTTTCTAGAAATGTCCATCTCACACTGCTGTTATAGGAGGAATAAAACTCAAACAAACCTATTATGTGACACAGCATTCATTTTGAAGAATGATGAATTTGGTGAATCCGAGGCTAAAGCTAGCCAACAGTTAACAATTTGTATAAGATGTTTCATTTAATGATATTTAATATATATTGTATTTGATGTTTTACAGAGCAGCTCCATGCTGAAGTGTGTTATGCCGAGTGTTTACTGCACAGAGCCGCTCTCACATTCTTACAGGTTTGACACATTTCAAGACAAATGAAACTAACAATCAGACAATCTCAGATGTTTTGTTTGAACTGTGTGCGCGTTTTGGTATCTTTGAGATCTTAACCTTAACGTGTAGAACTTGACATCTTTTTTTAACCTCAGATTCAAGGAATAGTTCACCCCAAAATGAAACTTTGCTGAATATTTATTCACGCTCAGGCCATTCAAAATATAGATGAGTTTGTTTCTTCATCAGAACAGATTTGGACATTTTGCTCACCAGTGGATCCTCTGCAGTGAATGGGTGCCGTCAGAATGAGAGTCAAAACAGCTGATAAAAACATCACAAGTAATCCACACCACTCCAGTCCATCAGTTAATAGTTTGTGAAATGAAAAGGTGTGTGTTTGAAAGAAACAAATCCATCATTAAGTTGTTTTTAACTTTAAACAATTGTTTTCGGCTAAAATATAAGTCATCTATCCATAATATGCTTTCTCCAGTGAAAAAGTCTTCTGGTCTGAATCAGGAGAGAAATATGCACAGATCAAGCGCCGTTTACAGTCAAACAGTCCAGAACGGATCTTAACCAATATGTTGGTGAGAGGAAATCAGGTATTGACTTTTTCACTGGAGGACACATTATTATGGATTATGGACTATGGATATTTTTGCCAAAAGCAACAGTTTAAATTTAAAATGCCTTAATGATGGGTTTATCATAAACACACAGCTTTTCACTTCTCAAGATTGGACTGGAGTGGTGTGGATTATTGTGATGTTTTTATCAGCTGTTTGAACTCTCATTCTGACGGGACCCATTCACTGCTGCATCTTTGATGGCCTGAGGGTAAAATTGCAGCAAATTTTAATTTTGGTTTGAACTATTCCTGAGGCCTAAGGCCACTTTTAACTTGATCCTACTCCAGAGCTCAGATCTGCAGCTGATTTCTCATTCTCTGTTTGTTGACAGGATGAGAATATGGTTAGTTTTATTAAAGGAGGAATCAAAGTACGGAACAGTTACCTCATATACAAGTAAGTCTGTAGCAAGTAAGTGAAGGACATCTGTGGTTTTACTGTCCGTAAATGAGAATAATTGGTGTCATCAAGACACCTGACGGAGCAGCGATATTGTTGACTTGATTGCAAGTGATTGCAAAGATACTATTTAAACTGAACTGATGATGACATCACTGAATTCAATGATGAACTGCCTTAACTGAAAATTGAGTGTTTACTATTGTCCTTTTGCATTGACACACTATTTTCCTATTTTGATACTGTGAAGCTGCTTTGACACAATCTGTATTGTTAAAAGCGCTATATAAATAAAGGTGACTTGACTTGACTTGACCTGCACCATTTAACCCAGTAGAAATAACCTATGTTTGATTCCCATTTGTGCGCCAAAATCCTGCCCTTGAATTGAACTGTTCAGTGAATCTCTCTGCTGTGAATGACGTCATGATTCTCATGCAGGGAGCTGAATGCCTTCGTCCAATCAGACACAGCTTTCAAAGGACCAAACCACAAGCACTTAGAGGGCGGAGTCTCTTTTGGGATTGGGGCTTTCAATTTGGTATGTGCATCTGAAATATTGCATCGATATTCCTTAATATTTAAACCCCAGATTGTCCATTGTGTTGCTGTTCTTCACTGTCACACAGACTCTTTCACTGTTTCCTGCCCGGTTACTCAAGTTGCTAGAGTTTGCTGGCTTTTCTGGAGATAAGGTGTTTTTTTTTTTACCTCAGATTACACTCTTGCGTTCTCATTTTTGGAAAGAAATTTTGCCAGTGTGTTTATTTTTTGGTTAATAGTCTTTGGTGTGTGTGTATGTGTGTGTGTGTAGGAATTTGGCATCTCTCAGCTGTACACGGGTGCCACCTCTCATACCCTGCGCTCCATGCTGTGCGCCCTCCTCCTGCTCTGTTTCTACACGTTCCTCTCCTTTATTTTAGGTATTTGTGATACATGTTGTATTTGATACCCACATAAAGCAGACATCTTACACCATAATTGCAAGATGTTTCTTTAGTTAATTGTGCAAACTTAAGGGATAGTTCACCCTAAAATCTTAATTCTGCCATCATTTTAATGTTTTTTTTAGTATGTATTTGAGATAGATAGATAGATAGATAGACAATAATATATTTGAATATACATTTAAATATTTTTTAAATGTATTTTATTACCATTTTTATTTTATATATGTCAAATAAAATATGATTGTATGAGTTTAATACATATTTATGCACACACACTAACACACAGAAATTCGTTTTATTTAAAAGTTTAATTAAAGAAATTTTATTAAGCAATGATGCATTAAATTGATCAGAAGTATAATGTTTATAATGTTATAAAAGATTTTCTGTATTAATTAAATGCTCAAAAAATTCATCACTGTTTCTACAAAAATATTAAGCAGCACAACTGTTTTCACCATTGATAATAAAAATAATTGTTTCTTGAGCAGCAAATCAGCATATTAGAATGATTTCTGAAGAATCATGTGACACTGAAGACTGGAGTAATGATGCTGAAAATTCAGCTTTGCATCATTTGAATTGCATCACAATTGAATTTTGCATTGCATTTGAATATATCCAAATAGAAAACGTTTAGATTAATAATATTTCACAATATTACTGTGTTCCTGTATTTTTGATCAAATAAATGCAGCCTTGGTGAGCAAAAGAGGCTTCTTACAAAAGCATTGAAAAAATCTCACTGACCCCAAACTTTTGAACAGTAGTGTATATATTGAAATGATTTGATGTTATTATTGAAGTGATGTTTTGTGTAGGTACTGGAGAGGGGGAGGTGGAAGAGGCAGAGCGACTATTGAAGCCATTTCGACTTCGATACCCACGTGTAGGTTTTTGCTTCTGTCTTTTTAACTTCATTTATAAATGAATTTATTTAGAATTTCAGGGCCATGTTCACATTTATAAAGATGTTTTGTTTTCAATTCTGGTACTTATATTCGTTTAAAGACTCCATACAGTCAAAATCTGAGCTGACTCGCATGCTTGTTGACAAATTTACATTTGACCGATTTAAACATTTGCAGTCTTTGTATTTTTAGACCATATTTTTATTCAGGTGAATACAGATGTTTAGACACCTGAATAGTAAAGAAAACTGTTCTAGTCAAGCCATGAGGTCTTTATTGGGTGTTTTTGGAGCTCACGTTCTGATTCTCTCTCCAGGGAGCGATTTTCCTCTTCTTTGCAGGTCGAGCTGAAGAAATAAAGGGCAACATTGATGAGGTGAATCTGACCACATGGCATTTTTTTCTTTTTATTCCAATGTTTTTAAAGACTTCAGACTGGTTAGAAGACCATTAAACTACTATTAAGAAATTAAGGCTAAACGGGCTTGTAGATCTTGTTCACTAATGTTTTGTCATTACTGTACCCCTGCATGTCCAGGCGGTGGCGCTGTTTGAGGACGGCTGTAAGGCCCAGCAGGCCTGGAAACAGTTTCATCACATGTGCTACTGGGAGCTGATGTGGTGCTTCACCTTTAAGAAGCACTGGAAGATGGCGTATTTCTACGCAGACCTGCTCAGCCAGGAGAGCCGCTGGTCTAAGGTGACCCGACTGCTCCAAAACAACAGTTTAGACACAAATTTGTTGCCCAATGCCAATCTGAAATATAATGGTTCAGTACAAATCTGGAAGTTCATTTGCATTATGTTTTGGTGAAATGATTAAAAGAACAACATCCTTAATAATCCTAAATGCAGTTTAGTTTACTGAGAAACGCCCATGTCATGGTTGTCTAATTGTGATATGTATAGATGCCAAGACATTTCTGCGTTGCATGTTTGAAACGGCCTCCACCCTGAATGTAAATCAAGTGTGGGATTTTATTGGTGCTGGGAAAAAGTCTGCTTTGTGTTTAATACAAACTAGGAAGCAATGCAGTTAGTTTTCCCATGTTTTGCCTACTTTAAAGGTGTTTAAACACTTTAAAATTGAAGTCATGTCATGTATTATTGTCAGAAAAAAATTCTATAATTTATTTGTTCTTTTATAAAGTTACACATTTTGGACATTTGTACCTCAAGACAATGAAATGGACTGGACTTCAGCGAAGATTTTATTCAGAACAGCAATAAAATAGTTCATATTTTTATATGGAGGAGCATTTTCTTTCTACTTTGTTTTTTAAAAAAGCTTTGAAAAATTCTCACAAAATCATGAAAAATTAAAGGAAGGTTTACATATCTGCCATTTTACATGTGTGAATATGCTATATACCCACCGGAATTACTGTATTCACAAGGTCAGAAAACTAGAGATTCAAAATATTCTTAAAAAGCAGGAAATCTTCTAAACCGAAAGGCAAAATGACATATTTCTTCATGATTGATGAAATGTTCTCAGCAGTTGGTTAGCCAACAGTAGCGTTAGCCAATGTTTCTGGTCTAATTGCAGACAGACTTCCTCCTCAGAAACACGAAGTGAAACCGTACAGGTGTAAAGCCTGGGATTGAGGTGTATTTTTTTTTTCAATTGAAGTCACGCTACAGCGCAGCAATTTAAACAATGACTGGCATGTGTAAGCTGTGTAAATTGGCTTTGTGGGTCATTGCCAGGTTTTTGTTTGGACTGGTTAGTTCTGTTGCTGCTTGTGATTACGTACAGTGTGTTTCCAGTGTGCAGAAGGATTATGACGCTTTTCTCTCTCTCTCTCTCTCTCTCTCTCTCAGGCCATGTATGTGTACATGAAGGCGGCTTATCTCAGCATGCTTCCAGACACAGAATCCCGGCCGTTCGGGGATAATGAAGTGGATCTCTTTAGGTAAATACACTCGCATGTAATTACACCGCTAACACAGGAGCAGAAATAATAAACTGCCTTTTGTATGTCTCTCTTTCTTTGAATGTATGTTAACATATGATCAAAACTGACATTAGCTGATTGATAGATGGAAATAAAGTGTTTTTTATTCCCGTTCACTTCCTATCTCTCTTTTGCGGGCTCTCAGACAGGTACCAACATACAAACAGAAGATAGCGGGTAAATCTCCACCCACAGAGAAGTTTGCCATTCGTAAAGCGAGACGGTACAAAGCTAGCAATCCAATCAGACTTCCTGTGCCTGTGCTTGTAAGAATAACGTAACACATTCAACACACTTCTTTCTAAATGTTTTTTTCCCCTTTACTTTCTGTTGTGATGCAATGGTTATATTTTAAAGTCAGCAACCTTTGTGAACATTTTTCAAAATATCTTCTTTTGGGTTCACCAAAATAAAGATACTCATACAGGTTTGGAACAACTTGAAGAGGAGTAAACAATGACAAAAATTCATTTTTGGGTGAACTTTCCCTTTAAGGACAAGGGAAGCTTCATATCAAATTCCAGTGTTTCCGTCTAAAAAAATTTAAAAAACCTAAACACAAATGCAAAATACACCTGCCTAAATAATACAGTAAACACTGATATTATTATAAGACACAAATATTATTATACAAATAAATAAGTAAAGAATCAAAAAAATAAGTCACGAGACATAAGATTAAACCAATAAGATTAGACTTCAAACTTCAACTTGGTGATACACCCTAACAGTCCAATTTTGAATGTTTGAAAGATTTTTGTTAACTGAATAAGGACTTCAGTTTTGCTCTGTACATGGCGGAAATCTCTCGTAAATAGGTTCAGAAAACTTGCAATATAGCCGACAAGTCATGTGGATTAATCTACCAGGAAAAGCTGGTTTGTCAACCGCCATAAAACGTTAAAAGACGATTATTTAAAGGCGTCTTACTGTTTGACAGCAGAAGTCCCAAAGCACTTTTCATTGTATGGAAAACTAAAGCTGGGACACTGTACACTGGGACACACAAATCAACGTTTGTAAACACGTGAGGGTAAGTAAATGATGGCCGTTTTCATTTTGGGGTTATGTAGAGTTAGTTGTTGAACACTGTTGATCGCAAACACTGAACAGAGACTAGTCAGGTTGACTTCACCTCTCCATCCGCCTCTGCTCCTTCTCTCTCTCTCTCTCTCTGGCCGCGATGCTCTCCAGCATCACCTCTATCGGAGGGTGCCACTCTCTGTCCTCGGCCGCCAGCTCCTCCAGCCGGACGTGAGAGGGCCAGAGTTTGGCCGGGTCCACTCCAGACGCGCCTCCATAGCGACCAAACAGCCTGCGCTCACACTTCTCGGTCTTCTGCCACTCGGGGGTCTTCTCGCTCTCTTTACTCGGTATGTAAGGGCTCTTTATATTCAGCCAGAGGGGTCTGGGGTTATAGTGCGCGATAGACAGGAGTTTAATTTACTAACGCCAAAGAATAAGGCTGTCCTCCTGCTTAGCAAGGAGGCCGCCGTGTTTGATGACAACACAGTGTTGCCAGATTGGATGAACTATTTCCAGTTTAAACGCTCCCAAAAACCGCCCAAAACTTTAACTGTCAAAATATTGTTATAGAATATGTAAATCAAGGTTGATAAGGGCCATTTTAACTCCTGAAATGCATAATTTTCAATGTCAGCATTCAGAATAATCCAATTTAAATGCAAAAAGTGCCCAATATAAGTGATAGGAAAAAGCAACGTAATTAGCAGGTATTTCACAGTCGTTCATGCACACACCATGACAGTCAACTCAAAACTGTCATTCATTGATACTTAATTATAATCCGACAATTACAAAAATAACAACAACAATAATGCGCTTAACTTCGTGTCGCTCTATAATTTTACACAGAACTAGAGGAAGCCTCTTGTTAAGTTCATATTGTAGAACATAATACAGAACTTTGCACAGTCAAAACTAATCAAGTCTAGCAGTTTTCAAGGATTTATCAATCTGGACGTTTAAAAGATAAAAGACATGATCGTATAAACCGACATATTTCGTTTCGGTTGTGATTAATTCAAATGTGCTCTGATTTGGGAGTTGCAGTGATAGAGCCTTCGTGTCATCTCACTCCACAATAATTCCCGTTTTGAGAGCGGCTTGTTTGTTAAACAATTAGCCTATGCAATTTATATGATTGAAACTTGCCAAACTGACCCCAAACAAGCCCAAATTTTGTCCACCCGCCCAAGCCAATTTTTACCCGCACAATCAAATTCAAAACCGCGCAATTAGACGGGAACCCGCCCAATCTGGCAACACCACTGACCTCTAACGTCAAATTTTTTTTGCACGTGATGCTGACGTCACGACGCCCTCTGCTGGTGAATTTGAAAGTAGATTCCAATGTAGTGCTGGAAATTATTCGATTTTTTTTTTAATTAATTGAGGATATCTAATATTATTATGACTATTAATATGTAACATTTATTTATACTGGGATTATTTTTTATAATTAATAAACTCGTTTGTTTAATTTTACAGTACAATAGTATTATTGCAATATTAATATATTTTTTATTGGTTTAATTATTATAATTTAAGTAATAATAAAACTATATAATTTTAATAAATCAAATATTATTTATAATTATTACTATTATTATTTGTACTTATATTACTTTTTTTGGTCTTTTGCAGATCACATGCCTTATGTTTTCCTGTTCTATGCTGTAAATGATGATATGTACTGAGAATCATGTACTGTTTAGAGGTGTTCAGCTTGTGTGTTGTCTGCATTGGTCTCGCTCCTCCCTGATCAATTTCGTGTGGACTTTAATCATCACCCCAGGGGGCCTTTAACAATGCTATTTCAATCCTCAGAGTTTTTGTCTGTCCTCAGAGCTGGACCCTTGAATCTTTTCCGGTAGTTAAACGGCACAGTGGGATCCTATTGTTGGAAATAAAGGTCTTAAATGGATCTGGTCCTGCTGGCGTTGTTTATCCCAGAGTCCAGACCATGCTAGAAAAACAAAGATGATTGCTGATTTTAAATCCCTGGTCACATTTTTGGCCCTATTGCTTATTTATTTAATTTAATTACTTTAAAGTAGGAGGAAAATATAATAGAACACAAATTACAAACTGCTGGAGAGTTAATAATAAAATATAATCTTCTAAGAGCAAAAATTATATAAATACAACAGAACAAATATTTTTAAAACATCTGTCATATTAATATTGATTAGTTTATTTAATTAGTTTAGTTTTCTATATTGATAAAGTAGCAAAATGAACATAAATGACCATTTTGGCATTGATTTGTAATCCTAATGAAACATTATAATTAGCATGAATGTGCAAAAATGTAATTAATAAAATTAATTGTCATTTTTTACATTTACTTTTTTAGTAAGTAATTAGTTAATTTTATGTTTAAAAATGTTTACGTTTAATTTAGGATTCTTATAGTAAAAACACAAGGTTTATGATTATAATTGAATTAGATCAACTCCTCAGTTGTAGCATGTTTCATCTGTTCATTTTCCTTTTGTTGTCACCTATTTAATTCTATAAATTTTCCATAAAAATTAATTAGCTAATCAGTAAATAAAGATAG